CAGGGCACTGGGCTTATAACACAGGCACTAAGCTGCCAATCCTTCAGACAGTCCCATCCTCTGTGGCTACCACCATCCTAGCCCTGGTCCCCCAACCCAATCCCTGCCGTATTTGAGGACTTAGGAAGCTGTCTAGTGCTCATCTGCCCAGGACTCCCGAAAAAGGGATGAGGAGGGCAGAGCCTTGCCCCAAGCTCCTGGAAGGTTTGGCCTGGTGTGGGCCAAGCACGGGCGGCTCACTGGTGGTGGTGTCCTTGATGAAGAGGCTGATCATGTGGCTAAGCGGGGGGCGTCGCTTGGTGACACAGGAGAGCCTCCCCAGGGAGCTCTCCTTCATCGTCTCGGCACTGGGGAGACGGTAGAGCGCCAGGTGGTTCTCCTGCTTGAAGAGCTCCTTGGCCCCGGGAGTGAAGCCTGCAGGAGGAGGGCAGCACTCAGGGCTTCGGGGAGGAAGCCCACACCATGGCACCGCCCGCCCTGGCGTAGAGCGAAATCTAGGCCACCTAGGCTGGCTCCTTCCACCTTTCCATCTCACAATCAGTCATTTCCCAGATTAGGAAGCACTGTCAAACGGCAGTGCCTGGTTAAGAGGGACAATCAGAGGCTAAAGGGGTTCGTGGGTGAATGAACAAATGCCACGCCCGGGACCGGCTGTTTGAAGTCGGTGGCCCCGCCTCTTCTCAGGGCCCAGCCACCAGCCCTGCCAGCAGCAGTGTACCGATGAGGCGGGCGAGCTCGCAGAGGCCCCAGGGCACGTGGACGGGCAGCACGGCACTGTGGCTCTCCTGCAGGGCGATGTTGCACAGGTGATCCGAGAACCGACACAGCCGCTCAGTGACGCTGGCGTTGCACAGGTTCAGCAGCACGTTGAGGCCCAGGGGCTTGAGAGACGTGAGGTGGAGCTGCCAGTTGGAGTCATCAAACTGGATGCAGGAGGGGTTCTGCTGGTCCTGCGACAGGCTCAGCATCTCCAAGTGGTAGTCACACACAAAGTCCTCGGTTTCGTAGGGCTCCCCATCCAGCCCTGGCTGGGTCTGGAGAGAATGTAAAGGGGAACAGGGGGCCTCAGGCTGGGAGGGGTGAGGGGGTAGCCCCTGAGAGAAGTCACCCCCTTCCCCGCAGAGTGTGCTCATGCTCTCCCTGTCCCTCCCGAAAACCCTCTCCCCGTCCTACCTGAGTTCCTGGCTGCTTCTAGTATCGGTGCCCAACCACACTGGCACTAAGAAGAGGATGACCAGACCAAGGAGGAAACAGTGAAGGATCTTTTTCAGCAGGGAAAATATTTTAGAGGGAGCCACTGCCTCTCTGTCTTTAGAAGGCTGTGACTAGGAGGTAGGGACCTGACCCCTACTAATGACCTTCAGCGAGACCCAGAAAGGGGGCCAAGGCCCACTTCACGGGTGAGGCCTCAGGAGGCGTCCTGCCCGGCCAAGCCTAGAGGCCTGAGGACCTGTGCTTTTGGCTCCATCCGTCCAGGCTGGGCTGCGCCCCTTGGGTCCCTTCAGCAGGGGAAGCCAGGACGCCCTGGGCCTGACCCCAGTGGCTGCTCTCCGCCCCCTCCTCTCACCTTGCTGGGCTCTTGTTCACCGCCCTCTGTGTCCCTGCTGAAGCTCACATTGGAGCCGGATGGGTGTTTGCTGCGGCCATATGCTCTGTGGTGACAGTAGGGCTCAGGGGGCTTGGGACCATCACCGGGCCAGTCGCCATGCTCCTGCTCATTGGAAAGGTGCAGGGTGGTGTTCAGGGAGCCGGCCAGCAGGGCATCTCGTTCATGGGGCTGAGGAGAGCAGGGAGCACAGGCCTCGGACCAGCGTCCCGACAGCTGCCGTGGACCAGGGAGGCAGGGCAGTGATGTCCCCTCACTGCCTTGTCTGGGGGCTCTGCCTGAACTGCTCAGAAGCAGGTCCTGATGGTGCCTGAGCCCTCCTTCCCGCTCCTAGCCTTGCCCTCCCTGAGGCCACCGGCTGGGCCCTGAGCGGGGCCCCCGGGAGCTGGCCGTACCTCCTCCTCTACCTCGGGGTGGCAGAAGGAGCGGGTGGACAGGTCATCCGTTAGGTCCTCGTGGCTGCTGTGCGGGGGCTCCATCTTCCCGCTGAAGAACAGCACGGTCTCTGGACTGGGGTTTGGCCATGACAGGATCCCCTGTTTGTCCACACAGCACAGGACCTGCAGGGAGAGATAGGTATTGGGAAAGGGGTTTGTCATTCCCCAACCTGGCAGACAGGCACCCAGACATAGCCAAAGAGGAGGCCTGCTGAGGCAGGGTCTTCCCGGAGGGCCCGCCCTCACCGTGACAGAGCCCAAGCTGTGCAGCAGGCTGGAGCTGTGGCTCAGAGTTGGCGACGTCCCCTGGATCACCCGCAGAAAGTGGCCCCAAATGCAGCGTAGCATTTCCTGGTGGGAGAAAGTCCATGAGGCCATTTGGGACTCAGCCATATTTCCTTGGAGACAGCCTCTGGGGCCAGCAGAGGAAACAATCCGGGGGGCATTGGGAAGTTGGGGTGGGAAGCATTTGTTTAGCAGAGCAGTGACACGCTGTCCACATGAGACGGGGCTGCTGGCTCCAAGAGCCCGCTGGAGGCTGGAGGGTCACAAAATAGGGGAGTCCCAGAGTTCCAGAAGGGGCCTGGGGCAGACTCCTCTCTGGGTGACTGTACCTGAGTAGAGACGGCTTCTGTATAGCTGCTGAGAGTATCCTCCGAGAACTTGGCCAGCTGCATGGCGAAGAGGGCACGAGCCTCAGCGGGGAGCTGCCCGCCTCGCACGGGCCTCCAGGCTGGCAGGTGTGGGCCCCACACCAGCGCCCAATGCCTTTGGTGAAGGACACCGGGCAGTCCCCAAATCCTGTCTGCTGAGAGCCAGGATGGATGCTCACCCACCCCCAGGGTGTGGCCTGAAGGCTCTTCTGGAAGGACAGGGCAAAGCCCTGGGGAACTGCCCAGAGCTGCCCAGGCGCTGGGCCCACGGGGGGACTGGGCTCCCGCTCCGGCTCTCTGTGCCACAAGAGACTCCCTCTTTGTTCCTGGGTTTTTTTATTTTTGCACGGTCCCCGGATGCCTTGGAAAAACCTACCAGCGAGCTAGGGGAGGCCTTGCTCATCTGGGCCAGGACACGGGCTTCTCCACAGGCGGTTGCCAGAACCCAGAGGACTGGGAAGAGCAGGGGTAGGATGGGCAACACACCATTCACCTGGGAAAGAGGGCACCACACTGAGGGAGGGAGGGAGGGAGGGAGGGAGGGAGGAAAGAAAGGAAGGGAAGGAGGGAAGGAGGGAAGGAAGGAAGGAGGGAGGGAGGGGGGAGCGGCGGGCTTCCCCCACCCTGGGGCCGGTCCCTCAGTGGAAAGGGACAGCTGTCTGGGGGCAGGAAGGGAGGACAGGAAGCAGGCATTTTCAAGCTAAAGCGTAAAGGACCCCTGGGCTGAAGAGAGGGAGGGACAGTCAGGGAACATGAGGGAAAGAGAGAAGCGAGGCGGCAGGACAGCCGCTACCTGTAGCTGGAGCAGGGTGTACTGCCAGGACGTGACTCCGGGGGCATGTAGCACGAAGCGCAGGGCGTTAGTGATGAGGAAGCTGGCCTGTCGGGAGCAGGAGAGGTGCAGCCTTGACGCCCTTTCCACAGAGGACCCAGGCTCTAAGACTCCCCTTCCTCTGCACACTCACACTCCCCGCATGGCACATGCTCACCTGGGTCTGACCCTGAGGCTCCCCCATTTCCTGCCCCTCTCCCCTGCCCCTCGCGGCCCGCCTCACGCACCAGGACCACGGGCATGGCGTAGTGCAGCATCACGGACTGCACCGTGAACCTCTCATTGTCCAGAGCGGTGACTGGGCGAGACAGGGCCATGTCCAGGCACCATCTGCGGGAAGAGGCGACCCTGTACTCAGCGAGCCCTGCTCCGGGGAAAGGGCCGAAACCCACACCTTCACTGAATGTCACTGAGTCCAGCAGTTCCTTCCTATGCCTCAGCCCCGGCCAAGTGGCCCCCGGGAGAGTGGCCTGTGGTAGCCTCCAGAGCTGTCCCCTTAGAGTTCAGACTAGAGGGAGCAACCATCCAGTCTAAGAACGCTCGCAAGACGTTAAAGAGGAGAACCTACAGCGATGCCTGCCCCAAGGGGTCCCGGTAGAAAGACGCTCCTTCCTTGTCACCCATGCGTCTGCTCACGGGAGGCGCTGGGGAAGAGAAGTCAGGGGCCAGGAGGAAGACAGGGCAGCTCCCCTACCTGATGTTGTCAATCACAGGGGTCTCAAGGACACGGAAGAGCCGGTGCTGCTGGGGGTTCTGTGGCCCTTTCTTCACTTCTCCCCGGGGGGACGGGGGTGGAGAGAAAGGGGGAAACAGGTCTCCCGGCTCCAAAACGATGTGCTCATCATCCTGCCAGAGACGAAGGGGAGGAGGGTGAGGACAATTAAAGGCTTCTTTTTTTTATTTTATTTTTTTTTTTAAAGATTTTTATTGTGGAATTGCGGGGATGGGAACAGTGCTGGGGATTTGGGGGAAGGGGAACAGACAAGTTGCTGTCATTTTCGTTCTTCAATCTAGTTGTGGAGGATGTTGCTTCACTGGCCCAAGTTGGCATGTCATTGCGCTCTTCCCGGGTGAGGCAGATCAGTCGCTGGCTTCTGGACGGTCTGGACGGCCGCTCACTGCGGCTGCTGGCCGCTCACGCTGGCTGCTGGCTACACACGGTAGCCCATGGCAACCCACTTCAGCAGTGGTTGCAGCCTACGCCGTCGCCGGCGACTCATGGCAACCCAGCTCCAGGTAGAGCTGTTGTTCAGCATCTTAGCTGTGGAGGGCAGTTTCACTGGCCCTCATATGTGGGATCCGAACCGGGGCCCTCTGGCATCCCAAGCGAGTTATTAACCATCGCGCCACTCGGCCGGCCCCAATTAAAGGCTTCTATCAGAGGCAACTCTTCCTGGACAACTCCGGCTAAGTGGAGACATCTCACGGGGTTAGGAACCATCAGTTAGCAAAGAGTCAGTTGGGGCGGGGCCTGTGGGACTGGATACCTAGCAGCTTGTAGATCAGAGAAGAACAGGACAAAGAGGAGCAAGATGTCCCAGCCCTTCTCCGTTCCCCTGCAGCCCATGTCAAGAAGCCTAGGAACTGCCCAGGAAGCTTTCGGATTAAGCCCTGGGACCCTCCCGCCGGTGCTTGTGGATGCTCCCACAGCATTGCCAGGGAGGGAGGAAAGCCTCGAGCTACCTTGATCCCCCTCAGGGAGGCGAACGATTCCTGGCCGGGCCTCAGAGCTATGATGTCTCCTTCCACCAACAGGCTAACTGGAAGGTTGACCAGATGTCCATCTCTGTAGGCCCAGTGCAGGGACCAGGATGGTGCAAAGGGCATGTGGAGGTCGGGATACATGGCATTTGGCCACTTGATCTCTTTGCCATCCCTGAGGGCATCTGACGAGAATAGAAAGGGGGAGACCACCTCACTCAGGGCTCTGCACACCAGCCGGACCCAGCACACAGTATGGAGCTTTGCCTGCCCATCTTCCGTTCCCAGAAGGCCTACGTCAACTCACGGCATTCATTTCAAAACATCCCCTCTTTCAAAGTCGCCTCGCCGGTGAAGCCTTTCCTAACCACTCAGCCCAGGCACTTCCACCTTCTCTGAAGTGCTTGTTCTTTGTACCCCTGTTCCTTTCAAATACATTTCACAAACATTGCTGATGGCTTTGAGGGGTGTGCTGAGCCCCACGAGGGGTACAAAGGTAAAAGGTGAGGATGACACAGTCCCTGCCCGTGAGGAGCCAAAACCTAGAAGAGGAGATAAGACACACGGGCAGGTAATTCCAAACGAGGCAGACACGTGTGCTGAGAGTGTAGGAAAGATCCCAGAGCTGCAGGAGCACTGAAGATCTGGGGCGATCAGAGGTGGCTTCACGGAAGAGGGGGCCTTGAAGACGGGCTTTGAAGAATGGGTGAGAATTTGTCAGCCAGAGACGAGCCCGGGAGAAGTATGCCAGGCAGAGGGGCAGCAGGGCAAAGGCACAGAGGCAGGGAAGTCTGCAACGGGTTTAGGAGTGGTGAGTAGTTATAACGTGCGGATGGAGAGCCAGAGAAGAGGCTGGAGGGGAAGGCTGGCGCCTGCACCAGAGGTTTGGGAAGCCGCGTGGGATGGCTTTGGTAAGAAAGAGGGAACCACTGATGGTTCCTGAGCAAGAGGCTCAGCTTCCCGAGAGCAGGGCCCAGCTTTCCGAGTCACCGTTCATTGTGCCCCCAGTGCCTGGCATGTGGCTGCAATTAATCAACCATATCAGATTCTCACTTAGCACTTAAACTCCCACTGCCCAGTACTGTTAGAGAAAGGTCTCATGAGAGAGGTGCTGCTTCTCTAACGAGGCCATGTGCCCCTGGGAAGCAGGAGCCACCACCTCCCAAAAGAGCCTAACGTAGCCCTCAATCCACAGCCGGGGCCTCAGAAACACGAGCTGCATGGCTGGATGAGCAGAAGTCTGCCTGCGCAGCTCCCTTCGCCTTCAGGAACTGGGCTGCTCCACCTTGGGCTCCAGGCTCCCTGCCCCAACCCCAATTCTTGACGGTATCTCAGACCTCTCCGAGCTGCCTTCCCACCTCCCCTGGCCCAGGACCACCAGACAAGGCAGACTTGGAAGAAGAAATCTCCATTAGCTTCCTGCCAAGAGAGAGGGTCTTCTCTGGTAGTCTCCCTATTAAGTCTGAGCAAGTCTGTGAGCCTCCTGGGCCACTATTAGCCTTCCTCCCTGCCCAGGCCACTGCCTGGGTACTCACAGTGGCTCAAAAGAGGGCAGGGCATCCTGCTAACTCTCTTGATGCCAAGAGCCCCTGGAATGCCTAGCAGAGGCAATGCCCATGTCCCGGGGCTCCTGGCGGGCACTCAGGAGGACAGCTCTTCAGGCCCCGACCCACCATGGGGCACCTTTCCCCACCTGACATGCCTGACCTTTGGCCTCACCTTGGATTTGGTCGATGATCCCTCGGAGCCTCCGCTCTACCTCCCGACGTTTCAGCCGATCTTGCCTCCCGATGAGGACGAGGCTGAGAAGCAGCAGGAGGAACAGCGCCGAGGCGTTCACCAGTTCCACCCCGTGGCTGGCGGGAAGGGGTGAGGGCTGCTAGCACCAACTCAACCAAGCCAGGGCCTGGACTCCACCCCCACACCCCCATCCCTTCTGAAAAGAGTGTCTCGTTCTGGTTCCGCCACCAGCCAACCAAGGGATGGAGGAGCCCTAAACAGCCCAGGCGCCCGCAGCGGGAGCAGCTCAGGGGCAGCAGCCTGTCGCCCCTGGGGTGTACTAGGTGGGACAGCAGACTTTGCTGAGGCGGGAGAGGGACAGGCCCCGACCGTGCAGTGGGGGAGGCTGGGACGGAGCTGATACCTGCCGGCCGGCTGGCCCCCGTGGCAGCCCAGCAGCAGCAGCACAGCCAGCAGCATGAGCGAGGCGCCCGGCCAGTGGAAACAGGAGCAGCGATTACTGTGGTGCAGAAAGCTGCTCCTCCACAGTTCCTGGGAGGGACCAGAGCGGGGACACGGAGGTAGGAAGCAGCCAAGATTCTCCGTCCTGCTGGACCATGGCCACCTTCCCCCCACGCCACCCAACCCAGCCTCTGTGGCTGCTGTTGTCTTCTCACTTCGCTCTCACCCAGGGTCCAGCCCGCTGGACCAAGAGAGGTCAGGACATCACTCTGAAAGGAGCCCCGACCTCTTTCTGAGTTTCAGTGATGCCTCGGTGGGGTCATGGCACCCAGGGCGACAGGGCGAGTCAGGGCCCTGAGAGTAGGACCCACGCTTCTCTGCCATCCCAGCGAGGCCCTGGCCTACCTTCCACGTGAGACATTTCTTCCGCTCCTTCTGGTGTCCTTCCAGCACCGCCTCCAGCTGCTCCTTCAGGACGCTGAGGGCCTTCTGGGTGGACAGGCCCAGGGCCAAGGGGGGCTCGCCCTGGAGGAAAGCCAGAAGAAGCACTCAGCATCTCCCCGGAGGCCCTGGGTCCTGCCAAAACGGGGCTCCCTCCTCTCCCCGCCCCAGGTCCTTCTCCCCTCCTCCTGAATCCTCACCTCCTCTTCCTCCACGGGCCCCTGTCCCTCAGGGTGTAAGCACGTTCAAATCTCCCCCAAACTAAAAGACGTTCGAGTACACAGTCCCCCACTCTTCAAAGCCAAGTGTAAAACAAAAACAGAAGCTAAACTCTATCCTCAATGTTTTCTATCTCACCGTTCACTCAACTCAACCCACTGCCACCACTACTGACATCTTTTAGATTCTATCACGTATGAACGGGAGGAGAACAAACATAGGGATGCTAGCATTTCGTGTTCCTAGAAGAAAAATTAAGAAAAGGTCCCCACCATCTTCTGTTACCACCATTTCCTAAAAAGGAGGGTGTTGCAATACTACATCACAACATCAGGAAGGACACAATCTCAGAAAAAAGACAGCTGTTCCCAGGAAAGGACAGCACACCAACTACGCTACACTCCCATCTCACTGAGGATGGTGGACAGGGGTGATTCCTGGGTGACAATGGGGGCCACCCACGCTGCCCCATGGGACCCCTGGTCTAACCTCTCCTCATTGAAACCCCCTGTTCCTGTTTTCTTCTTCTCTGACTCTGTTCTTTTTCCTCCATCTACCGCACAGTCTATCCTATCACATCTTCATAACATTACGTACGTTTCCAGGGTAACGTCGGCCACAGTGACGGAAGCACCCACCACTACCAAGCTTACACCTCCTAGATTTCACCTCTAGCCTAACCACTGCCCCAAATTCTGACCCGTTTTTTGAACTGCCTCACAGCTGTTTCACAGGCACCTGAGTCCATATGTCCAAAACCCTGAAATGGCCACCTGGCATTCCCCGCCAGAGTCTGTACTCCTCCTGCAATGACTATCTCCCCTGGGTGCCCCCCAGGCCAGAGTTGGAATCCCCAGACACTGGCCTTCCCCTGACCCCAACCCTGCCCTCCGCCTCCCACCCACCAATCTCTACCTCATCCAAACCAATTGCAACACCCAGGCCAGAGTAAGCAGGTGTCCGATCACCTGAACCCCTTTCCCTTTAAAATCAAGTCCAGAGTCCTGAGCGTATTCTGTGATCCACCGGCTTCTCCAGCCCTTTCTGCCTCCTTTCCTGCCATCCTCCTCCAGCTCAGGTGCAAACACCCTATGCATTTTCCCAGCCAAGAACAACACTCCCCGCCCCAAACAACTCTCACCTCTCCTTCGAGACAGCTCAAACATCACCAGCTCTAGGGAATTCTCCCCAAACCCAGGGCTGCACTTACAGGGGGAAGTTTGTATTCCAATAGCTTCCTGGCTCACAGCCTGCCTCATACAGAACTGTCATTATGGATTTACTTGTCTGGCTCTTCCACTAGACTGCCAATTCCTTGAAAACAGGTCCTGAATTCTTCCATCTCCATACCCCTCCCACCAACTGCTAAGACAGTACCCGGCACACAGCAGCAGCTCAGTGAATATGAGCTGAGTGAATGAATGAATGAATGAATGAATGAATGAATGAATGAATGAACACATACACAGGTAGCTTCACTGATCCCAGTGATACCTTCATCAGGGGTTGTCATCCCAGGGTCTATAGCAGAAACACCTGGAGCTTTTAAAAACATGGATGTCCACGTCCCGCCCCAGACCTACTGAATCCAAGCCTCTGGGGGTGAGGCCTGTCCCAGGGTGAATCTGAAGCACAGATCCCAGCATGGGGGTCCCAGGTAAAAGAATACCCCCAGGGAAGGAAGTGCCTGGAGGAGGGGTGAGGCTTTTCCAGGGCCACCTGAAGAACCCCAGGAAACGTTCCTGAGCAAGAGGAGCAGAGTCCTAGACCTGAGGCACCAGGAAGGGGGCTTGAGGTCATCTACTGAGTCCTGACCAACGTCACTGGGCCGGTGACACCCCGGCTGCTCCACTTGAACTCCTATCACCTCTGTCTGCCTTCCCCAGGGTCTGCCCTGGCTTTGCCCAGGAATGTTCTGGCTTTTCTCCTCCCTGCCCCCGCACAAGACACACATCTCCAAGACTAGAAGAGGATGCTGGACTGGGGGACAGCAGCCTGCGGCTGCAGACCTGTTCTGGTAGGACACACCTGAGTGGAGCCCTCACACGGCCCACTGCCAGCTTCCTCGGCCTGAGGGATGAAGGCAGGCTAGCGAGTGCGCCTGGCCCAAAGACTTCCCAGATCCCTCGCCTATAACTCACCTAATCCCCACTCTCCACGGTGGCTTTGGGGGATTATGAAGATAAGAGCTGCTTCTTCCCACAGGGGATAACTGCTTATTTCAGCTCAGGAAGAAAGGGTCCCCTGGGCAAGGGGCCCGCACCCTGGCATGGGTAAATGCTGTTCTCTGAAGTACCCACCTCCCTTTGGCAGGGATCCTGGGGCTGCCCTGAAAGGCTGTGGTCCAGGACAAATGAGTGGCAGGTAAGACTAAGGTCTATACCCTGCCTCCTTGACTCCTGACATGCAAGGGAAGGAAGTGTCCAGGAGGGTTGGAAAGGGACGAGAGAAGGCAAAGGGGACCGTAGGCGGCTAGCCCGGAGTGGGGGGTGCCCGTCCCTCCCAGCCCAGGGAGGAAGGAAATTTGGAAGGCACAGCTGCTGCAGCTGGGGCCAGGGTGAGCGAGCAGGGCCGCCTGTGCCTGCCCTCCCCACTGCCGCTTCCTCCCTCAGGCTCAGCTTTCCACGCACACTCCTCAGCGTGGGATAGGAGAGTTCCTAGGATGCTGCTGCCTAGGCCAAGCCTCCAGAAATTATAAAGTCAGGAAACCTCTTGGAGGCGGGGAAGGTCTGGCCTGCAGAGGTGAAAAGTCTGCACACAAAAAAGACCGGGACTGGGCAGGAGAAAGGAAGGGCCTGACAAAATCGACAAATCCCACGGGGCTGCAGGTCCCCTGGGAGCTGCTCAAGCTGAAATGAGGACCAGGTTCTGGAAGGCAGGGCAAGACTAAGAGGAGTCACCAGCAAGACAGGGCAGCGTCCCTCTTCCAGCCAGGCCTTTAGAACGTGGGCACTCGGCAATCACCCTCCGCTTGCCCTGTGGCTATCCTGACATCTGCTGCCTTATTCCAGGCGCCCCCAAACCCAGGCCCTCTTCCTCCCCTGCCCAGCCATCCCTTCACTCTTTCTCTCTGCCCCCAGGTTCCTAGAACCTGCAGGCTGCTGCTCAGGTGCGGGAGGTATGGGCCAGCGGAGGCAGGAGGGCGCCTGCAGAATGGAAGGCATACGTCTGCCCCCGCATGTTGTGTCTGGCCAGGAGCACCAACTCCAGACTGGCGATTAAAGATGGCAAGCAGAGGAAAAATAAGTCATTCTGTAATTACATGCCTTCCCAAGAAAATGCCTGCCCGCACAGGCTAGCCCTGGGGTGAGGACACAGCCTGCTGGGCCAACCGACCCGCCATGCCCCAACCACCCTTATCCAGCTGCCATGGCCACTCACCGACCTGAATGACAACACCTTACCCAACCTCCGGCACAGGGTCCCAGTTCCAGGTAAAGCCACTGTTTCCCTTTTTGTGTGGTGGCTTTCCCCCCTTATGTGTGAGGAACTTGGTGGAAGACCCTTACCCTTTCCGAAGGAAATTCAGAAACGGCTGGTGGGCCAGCGGGCTCTGCCAGCCTTTCTCAAAGCATGAGTTAGGCTGGGCGTCCCAGTGCGCCTGGGTACCAACCGGGAGACTGTGCCAGGATGAGTATTGGTTGTTTGAGAAATAAAGACCCGAGGTGTACACACACAATCTGAGGTCGGCTTCTCTTGCCTACCAGGGCCAAGAAGCGGGAAGAAAATCTGCTCCGGCCTTAAGTACACAAAGGCACTTCCTGCTTCCCAGATGCTCAGAAACCCCCTCCACACACGCACACAAAACCAGGCACCTCCAGAGAGGGCGAGGAGCAATGGGTGAGCAAAGCCTCGCACCAGAGGGGAGGCGAGGCCCTGCTTCTCCACCGACACAGATACTTTGCAGGTAGAACCAACCGCCTCCCACTGGTTTCACTGCTCAGGCTCAACCAGGCCTGAGAGAGTAACTTGAGGCTCTGGGAAGCCCAGGCTCGGAGAGGCTGGCAGTAAACCTGCATCGTGCTCTGGGCTTCTTCTCCCTGTTCCATCATCCAAAGGAGACACTGGCAGAGCAGGGGGGTTCTTTGAGGAGCAGCATGGTGCTGAAAGAACTGTCAAGTTAGGACCTGCTACTAAACAGCACCAGCTCTGCAGGGCCCGGAGCTAAGCATCTGGGTCAGTCCAATGAGCCTTTTGAGAGCCAACACACCTGCACTCTCCTGGGCCACCCTCGTCAGGTCTCAGGTGGCCCAGAGCCAGAAGCCCCCCAACCCCCAACCCCTGTCCCTTTGGGACTCCTCCAAAGTTCTGTCAGCACAGCAGCTGTTGTCTTCCCTACTCCACCTGTTTGAGGAGCAAACAGAATCAAGGTTCCCCCAGGCTCAGATAGACAATAAATTTCGACCTTGATCCTTGGCCTTGACAACAGCAGATAACCACTAATAGAACTGGCTGGCCCCTTTGCCAGGTCCCACCATCATACCCAGTGCAGGTGGGAAGAGGACCAAAGCTGGACTCCACATAATGCCAGGATCACCGAAGCAGAGACTCGGCCACTGTCCACCAGGGACTTTTTTAGCAGTCATGACAAATCTTTTCGGAGTTTGCCCAGACACAAATCGACTCTGTCTGCAGTCAGGCCAGTCAAAGCCTCAAGCTTCCTCCCCTTCCTCTCTCCGGGCTCACGCTGACCACGAAACTCACCCATCTTCTTCCTCCTGCAGCCACCAAGACCTAAGAAGAAAGCACCCAGGCCTGGTTGCTCCTGTCTCAATGACCCACGTGGTCCAGGGCAAAAAGCCCCCTCATTGGCCCCAAGGAGGACTGATATCCAAGCCCAGAGCTTCCCATCACTTGTGCATGGAGACCTGGGTCCCAGCGTCAGGGAGACAGATGCCCCCCTGGGAAACTCGGCTCCAGTCCTGCTCTGGGTGACTTGGGAGGCTAGCTGGCAGCTCCCTAAACACACCGGCTTTCTGGCTCCCATTCCTAGCCTCCTTCCACTGTCCTAGCTACCTCGTACTCCGACCAGCCTCCTGTTCGGCATCCATCAAGACTTGTGGCAAACGCTACCCCAAGCTCTCTGCAAAAAGCGGGGAACAAGGCATTGGAACCGAGCTGTGCACCCGTGCTGGCATACTCACTTTGTTGCGCTTGCCCTGAGGGGACATCCATAGCTCTGTCTGCTTAAAGAGCATGAGCCACAAGGAGTCGGCTACAGGACTTCCAACACGGCCCTCAGAGAGAGGCAGAGAGAGAAAAACGAGGGAGGAAGAGTGAGAGAAGAAAAGGAAGAAAGGAGAGAGCTAGAGAGCGTGTGAGAAAGGAGCCGCAGGCAGCCCAACGCAGCTTCAATCTGCTGATGAATTCAGCCTATTTCCAGTCACGCTGCAGACTGAGCGAGGGAAGAGGAGGAGGCAGCCTGCAACAGCAGCAGCCTAGGGAGGAGGGAGCGAGGGGGGGCGGCGGCTGAGAGGAGAAAGTTTGTGGATGCTCTGCCAGATGTCCAGGAGCTTGGCCCATTCATCAGAGGAGGCCACTGCGGGGTGAGCAGAGGGGCGAAGTGCAGCCAAGGGAGCGGACAAGGGGGCGGAAGGCAGGAGGAGAAGCTATGCAGACACAGCTGCTGCCGGTCAGGGCAACTGCCCGCATCAGGGAGCGTCTGGATTCCCTTCCCAGACTACCTTTCCTTGACCAGAGTCACTGGGCGAGGTGAGGGGCCCCACTGTGGTGAGCTGCCATCACGAGAGCTCCCCCAAATCACCAAGGCTCCCAGCGTGGAGCCAAGCCAACAACAAACAGCTCTTTCCACAGTCAGAGCTGCAGGAAGGAGGGGAGAGGGGACTTGCAAGTTATTAATAGCAGCACATCCTGCACGGAGGGGGACTGGCTCTGAGTAGACTGGAGCACTGACTTCTGGGGGGCAGCGCAGGGGGCCAGGAAGAGAGTGGAAGAATCCGGTGGGAGAATCCAGCAGAAGAGGGGAGAGCCCACTGAAAGGTGGGCCTCCGAGGATTCCAACACCCGGGACCCAACGCCTTCCCACCAGCTGGTGCGGGGACCCCAACGGCCACTATCCCATGCCCATGAAGAGCCCCACCAGCAGCTGGTGACCCCTCTGTATTGACATACACCTGCTGAAGTGCTGCTGGAACCAGGAGAATGTGGACACCCAGGCCGCATGTCCCAGGCAGAAAGAGGGGGCCAGTGACTTGGGGCTCCCAACTCGGCACCTCCCGGAGCGTCAGCAGAGCCTGAGCGTCTCTCTAGGACCCTGAGTTTGACACACAGGAAGCTCTCGGCACTTCCTCTGGGTGAAGGAGGGCAAAAGGCCCTGGGACTGGATGGGAAACTTCTCTGCCCACGTCCAGGCCACCCTTCGGATGGGGCCGCAAAACCCCAAGGGAGAGGAAACAGCCTAATGACCCAATAACCAGAGAGCGCAGGCTGGAGCCTGAGCACGTTTCTCCAGGGCCCATGTTTCCTAGACGACACCATCTCTAGCTGCAGGGAAGGGAAAAGAGCCTCTCCCCTCCCCCGTCTCAAGCACAGCTCCCTGTGGGGCCCCGGCAAACCCTGGGCTGAGTGGGAAAGAAAAGGAGGGGCCCAGGCTAGGCAGTCCAGAGGTTAAGGGCAGGAAGGCTCTCTGAGGCGCAGGCCAGGGGGAGGCGGGGTGAGCTTCAGAGCAGCAGCCGCCGTAAGGATGGCTGCAGCCTGAGCAATGCAGGGAGGAAGAGTCCTGCCACCCGGTCCCATGCCCCCAGGTCGAGCTTCTCCTTTAGCTTTCTACCAAGGCGCTGATCTGTGGAACCATGACCAAGCAAACACCCTCCCAGCTCACAGGACCTAACCCAGGTGTCCCGCAGGGTCCCACGCAGCCTGCCGCCTTCCTACACTGCCCGTTTCAGCAAGTGAAAGGGCCGCTCTGCATCTAAGAAGCAGAAACCCAGATGGCCACTGCTACAGCGGGTCCACCATGGGCTGGAGGATAAGACAGGGGGAGAGGAGGCTCCGAAGCAGACACTGAGGACAGGCAGATCACAAAGAGAAGGGGGACAGGGTGCAGAAAATCAAACAGCAGCAGCCAAACGGATCCTGAGCTACAGCCAGGGGACAATAGGCCCCCTTTCCATCAGCTACCACCATCCCGCTCTCTCTCTCCCACTCCTCCAAGAAGCCTTTCACTGTCCACAGGGATGATTATCTTTACAAGTCCATTTATACAACTCACAAGGGAGAACCCCCACCAGGTTCTATTACTCTGCTGCTTGTACTGCCAATTCATCAGCTAGACTGTCAGCCTCTCCAAGCCAGGGGCCACCTCCCCAGTGCCTGGAGTTCTACAACCCAAAGGAAGCACTCCATAAATAAGGCTACTGCTAATGGTGACAATGTTCTCTAGTTCAGGATTCAGCTATCCAGGAAGAGATAAACGGGGATAAAGGAAAATCCTCCAGGAAAAACGGCCCCTAAGAGCTAGCCAGCCTGGGCTCTCAAGTGGTCTTCCTCAGGCTTGAGAGAGAAGCCAGCCCCCCTGGATCACTGGACTTTGCTTCCCCTGTTCGCTAGGAACTGATGTTTCAGCAACAAGCTAGAACCGGAAGATAATGCTGTCCTCTGTTTTGGGGACATTCAGCCTCACCCAGGCAGGCCACCACCATATTGCACAACATTATTGCCTCTGGGGTGGGGGTGGGGCTCCCTGGAATTGAGCAGTGCACAGCCCTTGCAACTGTATGCAGCAGTCTTGTGCCCAGGCTAGGGGAGAGGTAAGTGTAGCTTTCCCTGTGTGCCGATCATTGCTAGAATGGACAGAGCATCCAGAGCATCTGTGAACAGGAGGCTGAACATACCTGCTTCAGGGTCCACCAGCCTGTTCCACAGCTGGTCCAGAGGCACGTGAGGCCTGGAGCTGAAGAAGTCAGCAGTCGGCCAGGCAGCACCAGAGGCGGTGTGTGGACCCACAGCTCCCTCTCCCTTTCCAGACTTCCCAAGGTCTCTTTGGCAGGAAGATCACTACCCATAAGTTCAAGTTAATAAATATTTACTAAGCCCTTGCTACATGGCAGGCTGTATGGTAAGAGCCAGGGAACAGCCAGATTATTTCAGTAGTGTAGCAAGAACGATGCTGAAAGGAGGGACCTCTGGAGAGGGGAGGGAGGATTTATCTGGAGAAGGTGATGCCTAAACTGGGTCAAGAAGAAAGAACAGTAGGAGTTTGCCAGGAGAAAACGTGGGGGGTATTTTAGGGTAACAGCCTAAATGTGGAGCGTGTGCCCAGGCTCTGAAGCATTCAGGATTACCAGTGGTCAAGGCCACGGCAGGGGGGCTGGGGGCTCTGGGCTAATGAGCAGGAGCGGATTTAGGGAGGGCTCCCCAGCCACACTAAAGGTTTCAGCAGGTGGCACGGAGCCACGGATGGCTTGTAAGCAAGGGTAACAAAAGGTCAGCTCTGCATTTGGGATCATTTTCTTTGACAGCAGAGTGGAGGAGGAAGATCAGAGAAGCGGGCCTGTTAGAAGGTGTGGCAGAGGTCCAGGCAAGGGATGAAAGGACCTCCTGTAGGGCGGCCTTGTCACAAGAGAGGGATACTCTGACGACAAATCTACCTCCATGCAAAGACGGTGTACCTGGAGGCTGGTGCACCTGAGGTCAGGCTGGGAGGAGGCGGCCTGGACCTCCTGGCCGCTCACCGCAGCTGAGCTGATTACGCAGCTGTGTTTGGAGTCTGACTGGGGAGCTCATCCCTAACCACAGAGGGGGTGCCCAACAGCACTCAACATGGTTCAGCAGGTTGGGGCAGAGCCCCAGCGAAGAGCAAACAAACGAAATTACACACCCCTGGGCAAGAAGCGGAAGACTGGCTCGGAGCCAACCCCAGTCAGAAACCCGTGCCCTGGCAGTCATGTTAACGGGTCCACCTCTGCCCTGTACTCGGGGCTCCCTGGGTCTCTGCTTTCCTGCTGAGCATAGCACCCTCTCAGAGGGGATCATGTTCACACACCCCAAACTTCAGAGCCATGACCCCTCCCACTTTGGGTTTAAAGACCCCAAATAAGGACCTCCCAGGCAAACACAAGTACAGAGATTCCAACAGACACACAGACAATCCCCATGAGGGAGTCAAATATGGCCTACCGCATGCTTCTCCTTCAGGTCCATGGGCCCAGAGTACTGCAGGCATGCCCAGATGAGTGTGGTCACCCCCGAAAGGAAGGCTGCTCCCCAACATGTACAAACCCAGTGACTGTCACAGTCACAGCATCTGGGGGAAAAAAGAGAAAGAAATCGCTCGAGTCTAGGTTGCTGGAATGGGCGGCTATTGTAAAACACAGCAGTATCATGTAAACGACGGAGTGGTACACGGAGAAAAGGGGTGTCACTGACCACCGGTGCCCCGGCCGGCCCTGTGCTAGCAGCAGAGCTTCCCTGAGCAGTCGGCTGTGAATGAATTCCTCTCTCTGAGCCCAGGAGGGAGAGGGCATCAGAGAGGATGCTGGGGTGCAGCTTTCCCTCTATGAACCCTAATATTTCGGAGGCACATATGTTTTGTTCCACGTATACTCTTCCTTGCTGACGCCCGGCAGGCAGGAAAAGCCCTGGTTTATCAGCTTTAGAAAAAGCCCTGGTTTATCAGTTTATCAGCTATAGAAAGTGAAGATTAGCTTTAACATCAACTGGAATCTAGATACAACTCAAATAATATGGAGAGTGGCGGCGAGAGCAGTGGAGATGGCAGAAAGTAGAGACGTGATCACTCTACTGCTGCCACCAGGAGCCTGGCGTCCATCTGTTCCCATTTTCTGGGAAACACACAACACCCATGCCAACACATACATGCCAACGGACAGCCAGACCTCTCGTGCGGTTTGCCGACAGGGCAGCACTCACCAGGCACCTGGGCAGATGCCCACAGGACCGTGGTCCAGTCTGACAACAGTCTGGAAGATGAAAAGTAGCCCTACCCCCCCACCCCTAACCCCCTCCCCACACAACCCCTGACCCTCACCCATCCATCCTGGCAGCCAACACACTTTCATGATTTCAGACCAGGGCATGTTTGGGTAAAGAGTGCCACTGAGTAATCTGGTTTGGTGCCAGGTGAGTCCTCATGGGGAAAGCACTAACCTGCTGACTAGGACAGTTTTTTGGGGGGCCTGCAGTTAAGAGGAGCTGGTCAGAAGCCCAGAGAACTGATCCATAAAAGCTCTGTCTAGAAAGAAAAAAGCTGTGTCCAGAGGACCCCAGCCAGGAAGCCCAGGCTCTGAAGCCACCGACAACTCTCTGAAATCCCATCTGATTCCTCACAAGGCACCCCAGGCCTGTGCTGCCAAGTCTCTCCCTACCCTTGTCTCTCCAGCCAGGGCTTTCAGAGCTGAGCAAGCCCCAAAGGGTCAGTGACAGACAGTGAGGCTGGAAGCAGCCTCGCCAAGCAGTGACATTCGGTCTTGGCAGCCACCTGAAATGAGATCTTGAGAGGCCGAATCCACTTCTCCCCAAGGCCGCTCTGACTCAGGCTGCCCTGGCCCTGTTTACGAGTACAGCTCAAGGTCCCCATGACACCCCGTCCCAGCAAGGGTTGGATGAGGTAGCTGCCACACAGGGAAAGGCACCAGGAGCCAGATGGGAATTGTGCTTAACTCCTGCCAACACTACAAGAGTGAAATAACTCTGTGGCCAGCTGAAGCCACAGCAATTCAGAGAGGGCAGCCAGGAGCAGGACATTTTTCTAAGAGTCTCTGTTTTCCCATTACTCCATACATGGGATTCTGGGAGAGAGCTGTCCTCGACTGTCTGATCTGAAACCAGCAGCTGTATCTTTAATGGGTGAATTCAACTCCTGGCCCATGGTGAAGAAAAGCACAGGCTTCAAAGCCAAATACGCCTGGGTTCGAACCCTGACTCCAACATGTATCAAATGCTAATTGACCTTGGCAAATGACTTGTCTCTCTGCGCCTCAGTGACCTTGGTCACAGAATGGAAATGATGACACCTATTTCAAAGAGGAGCAACAAGAATTATGTAGAATATTATATGCAGAGGGCCTAGTACAGTATTTGGCACATAGTAGGTCGTAATACATAGTTGCCATTACTGTCATCAGCAAACAAGAAATATGATCAAAGTGAGGACTCAAAAGTAAGGAGATGAAAAAGAAATGAAAGGCATAAAGATTGTAAAGAAATAAGGAAAGCTGTCTTTATTTGAAGATTAGATCATATATGTAAAAAATCTTAAGGAATCTACAAATAAAATATTAGAACAAATAAGTGTGCAAGGCTGCAGGGTACAAGGTAAAAATACAAAATACAAATATAAATTAAATGTCTATATGCTATAATGAAATATAGGAAACTAAAAAATTTTAAATATCACTTATAATAGTACAAAAAAAATGAAATACTTAAGGATGACTTTAATAAAAATATATCTAAGACCTGTACACTGCTGAGAGAAACTAAAGAAGGCCTAAATAAATGAAAATATATACCATGTTCATGGACTGGGAGACTCAATATTAATATGTCAATTATCCCCAAATTTATCTATAGATTTAATACGATCTCAAAGTCCCAGCTGACAGTTTCGTAGAAATTGACAAGCTGATTTAAAATTTATATGGAAAGGTAAAGAATTTAGGATAGGCAAAACAATTTTGAAAATGAAAAACAGTTAGAGGCCTTACACTGCCTGATTTCAAGACTTAATATAAAACCATAGAAATCTACACATGCGGTACTAGTATAAAGAGAGACATACAGCTCAATGGGACAGAAGAGAAAGTCCAGAAATAGACCCATGCGTATGGAAAACAAACCTTGACCCTCACCTCATACCATACACAAAAATTAACTCAAAATGGATCACACATCTAAATGTAAAAAGTAAACCTATAGAACTTCTAGAAGAAAATATGGGGATGGGAATCGTTGTGACTCGGGATAAGCAAAGATTTCTTTCTTTTTTTTTTTTTTTAATTGGGGAATTGGGGGAGGGAACAGTGTTGGGGAATCAGGAAAGGGGAACAGACAAGTTGCTGTCCTTTTGTTCTTCAGTCTAGTTGTGGAGGGTGTCGCTTCACTGGCCCATGTTGGCATCACCACCACACACTTCCCGGGTGAGGCAGTCTCTCTCCAGCCATTAGATGGCCGCTCACAGTGGCTCACGGCAGCTCACAAAAGCGCACGCCCGCTGCCAGCCAGCCCTACTACAGCCCATGCCATCACCAGCGACTCACAGCAGCCCAGCTCCAGGTCGAGCTGTTGTTCACCATCTTAGCTGTAGAGGGCACAGCGTCACTGGCCCTCATATGTGGGATCCAAACCAGGGTCCTGCTGCTCAGAGCTGGCGTCCCAAGCCAACTCCTAACCAACATGCCAATCAGCCAGTCTGCAAAGATTTCGTAGACCATGAAGAACATGAGCCATAAAACAATTGCATATATTTAGTAAGTGTAAGGAATGGTCCTGTTTTCAAAAAATATAAGATATGGTCCCTTCCCTCAAGGGATTTAAAATATAGCCAGTTTTTGGCTACTGTGAAAAAAGATAGCAAAAATTCAAGTTGGAATTAAAATTCAATGAGAATTTGCAGGAGGAAAAGATCACAGGGGACTTGGCGATGCCACGGATCGCTTCTGAAAGAAGCAAGGCCCAAGCCATGCACTTAAGAAAGCTTAGGAGTAAGAAGAGGGAGAGCAACCCAAGCAAGAACTGGAAGTCCCCACAAAAGTACCAAGGAAGAACCGCAGGAGCCTTTTTGAAAGATGTGACCTGACCTGTTTGGTTAGAGCACAAGGCCTGAGAAGGTAAGAGTGAAGAAATGAAACGTAGGACAGGAAATCAGGGGCCGAAATGCAGAGGCCCTGAGGAGGCACTGAAGGTTTCTGAGCGGTCCCAGAAGTTTAAGAGGGTAGAGCATGAATCAGAGGAGGAAGGGAAAGAAATTACAGGCAGAAGAATGAGAAGAAAATGATGATTTTCTTGGTTTGTCAAGGTAAGTATCCACACAAAGGCAGCCAAGAAGTCATGAAAACAAAGGGCTGGATGCTTCCTGCTGCCAAGCTCAGAAACCAGAATAAAAAAAAGCTAAATGGGGGCTGGCTGACTTGCGTGTTGGTTAGGAGTTGGCTTGGGACACCAGCTCTGAGCAGCAGGGCCGTGGTTCGGATCCCACATGAGGGCCAGTGATGCTGCACCCTCTACAGCTAAGATGGTGAACAACAGCTCGACCTGGAACAGGGCTGCCAGTGAGTTGCCAGCGATGGTGTAGGCCGCAGCCCCTGCTGCAGTGGGCTGCCGTGAGTTACTGTGAGCCACTGGCAGCCAGCGTGAGTTGCTGTGAGCCACCGTGAAAGGCCGTGCAATGGCTGGCGAGTGACTGCCTCACCTGGGAAGAACGCAATGATAATACCAACTTGGGCCAGTGAAGCGACGTCCTCCACAACTAGACTGAAGAACAAAGACAGCAACTTGTCTGTTCCTCTTCCCCGATTCCCCAATGCTGTTCCTCTCCCCCAATTCCCCAATAAAATCTTAAAAAAAAAAAAAAGAATATAGATGGTAGTTTTCTAAAAAAATAAAAACATCTTTAAAAAAAAAAAAAGAAAAAGCTAAATGGGTCCCAAGGTTCAGGTTGAGGGCAAAAGGAGTTGGCTGTCCTTTTTATTTTTTTTTAAGATTTTATTGGGGAGTCAGGGGAGGGGAACAGCCAAGTTGTTGTCCTTCAATCTTAGTTGTGGAGGGTGCAGCAAGCTCAGCACCACGTCCAGTCGTGCCGCTCCGCTCAAGGTGCTGTGTTCAATTAGCTGAGGGTGGGCATAGCCACCATCCCTTGTGGAGTCGAACCAGCAGCCTTGTTGTTAAGAGCGCACTCTATCCCCTGAGCCACCCAGGTGGAAGCTCAACTCAAGGTGCCAATTCAGTCTTTAGTTGAGGGCGGGCATAGCCCACCATTCAAACTGGCAGCCTTGTTAGGAGCATGTGCTCTCACCAGCTGAGCCATCCTGCCTCCTGTTGGCAGCTCAGCGGCAGCTCAGCTCGGGCCAGGAATTGAACCGGCGGCCCTGTTGCTCAGAGCTCGCACTCTTGGGCAAGCTCTTAACCAACTGAGCCACTTGGCCAGCCCCTGGCTGTCCTTCTTTTCCCTTCTAATATAACCTTCACTAACTGAGATGGCACTCTAGCCATGCACAACACACCAAAACCACAATTTGGGGGACTTGTATTTGGCTGAGTAGCTATGCCCACAGGTACTAATTGATG